GGTGGGCGGCCTGAAGGGCCGGCGGCGGACGGCGTGACGGGAGGCGACGCACGGCGATCCCGGCCTGGGCGCCGGGCCGGGGTCGCCGTCCCGGGCGAGCGAGAACGGAGGGAGGGGCCGGTGCTGGGCCGAAAGACGAGGGAGGGGGCTGGGTGGCTGTGCTTTCCACTGGGGCGGGGGCGCGGGGCGCGCCGCCTCTCGCTCCCCGCCGCCGGGCCGGCTCGTGTGGCGGGCGCGGTCTGGCTGTAGCGTTACGGGAGAGGGATTCCCAGCGGGACGAGCTACTGCGCGCCAAGGCTGTGCTCGCCGCCGCACAGCCCTATCCTCTCCCCCGTTACTATAGTTCTTTAAAAGCCTCTCCACCACCCTCTCCGCCGCCCCCACCCAAACAAATTTTTTTATCGTCCTGTTGCTTCACAGGGGACTTTCAGGCTGGGCGTCACGTGGCCCGACACGTAGCCGTAAGGCTCGAGAGCGCGTGCGTGCGTGTGGGCCGGAGGCCACGCCCCTTCCGAGGGTCGCTCCGCCCCCGCCGGGGCCCCGGGAGCAGAGGGGGAGGTGCGGGGTCTGCGCGCGCCTGCGTGGGGCGGGGCCGGGGAGGGGGCGCGGCCCCGGGCGGGGGAGGGGGAGAGGCGTTCCGAGTGCAGGGGTCCTGGTGCGGGGTACCCCGCGCGCGGTGGCCAAGCCATAGAACCCCGGGGGGCGGGAAGTAGCGGGGTCTTGGCTCTCGGCCCTGCGCTGTAACGTTTCTGCGGCCCCGGGTCCTCCTGCGCAGGACGTGTTCACGATGGGCTCCGACTGCCGCTGTGTCGTTGGTGGGCCCGCACGACGACCCCCGCTATCCCAGCGGTCTCCTCCTGCTTCGAGAGCCACGCGGCGGGAAGGAACCGGAGGAGAAGCGGGTTCGCGTGGGCGCCCCTTGCCGCCCCGACTGCGTGGCTGTGGCGGTGGCCGTGCGTCGTGGGTCCGGGCTGGGGGGCGCGCTACGGGCCCGGGTCCGCTCCGTTGCGGCATCCAGCTCTTTCAGGCTGCGGTGAAGAGTGAGCACCGGCGGTACGAAGTCGGGAGCGGAACGTGCACGCTGTTTGCGATGTAGCGCTTCGTGATGGCATCAGTATCCGCTAACAAAATGAAGCCGCGATGAAGAGACGAAACACGGAGCATGCACCTAGTTGGAGAAGCGAAAGTCAGCACTCATATTTGCAAACTTGAAGTAATCATACCTTGGGCACGAGGTTTTTCATGCAATACAATCGATTTCAAACATTTAGGTTTGCTTGGGAAAATTTTCTGAACTGCAACAATGCAGTTGCAGTTCAGAAAATTTGGTTTATGTAAATTGTCAGCCACCAAATCTGTATCTGCATTTTATTGCAAGCCCTTTATGACATGTTCAATTACTAATGTAGACAAAATTATTTAACATCAAACTGACCCTTGTAAGCGTGACACGTGGCTGAAATATCTATTTCATGTCTATAATCATGTCAACTGTGTTTTAACTTAAGTGAGAACTTAGTGGGTTTTTTGCGGGGTGGGGGGGAAATTTTGCTTCAAATTCTGAAGAACACTTCTAAGTTTGAGTTGTATTGAAACTACGAAATGAATTTCAAACAAAACCTCTGGCAAGTAGCTACTGGCCTGTCCGTTTAAAAAGCAGAAAGTGAGCTTGCTTTTAAAATTAAGCTGCTTTGATAGAGGAAATGGAATTGCTCTGTTAAACAAAGTTAAAAACATTTAACTCAAATATTTTAAGTTCACCAACATCCATCACTGTTAGCAGAGGTATAGAGTATTCACCTAATTATCTATTAAAGGGTGAATTTTGTAAATGCAGGGAATAGTAATTTGACCAAAAAGCTGTTGTCATTTCGAAAACTAGTGTAAGGTATGCTACCTCCATACCTGGCTAAATGATAGGTAGTTGTAAAGGGGTTTGTTACTAAGTGATTCTTTTGACTCTAGTTTAAAATGTTCAGTTTCCCTTCTTAATCTGTTCACTTGTTTATTAAGCTCTTAAGCCCTGTGCTAAGTGCTTTACATGTATATCTCATTTAATTGTTAGTTCAAACTTGTGGCTTTAACCTTATGATTTTATCCCCATTTTACATAAGGGGAAACCCAAGGAGAAGGAGGTTAAGTAACTTGCCCAAGACTGTAGCTCATGAGGCCTGGATCTGGGATTCAAATCCGCTTATATTTTATTCTAAAATCCATGTTCTGTGCCCCATTACTAACCGTATCCTGTAAGGTTGGAACTTATGATGATGTTCCACCATTTTTGACCCATAGAAACTGCAGTTTCATATGGCTCACCGGTTCTTAAAATCTAGGTGAACCAAGTAAAAGTTAAAGAACAGTGATAGACAGTATTTATTTCCCATGTATTAAATACCTTACAGTTACAGCATTTGATGATAGTACTATTTTTTGCCTTTTCAAATATACATAGATTACTTCTCTGCTCACAGTTCTTCAGCGGTTTGCGCCTACAGATGAAAAACCCAAAGATCTTACAGAGGCCTGTGGGTCCCAGGTGCTCTGGCCCATGCTGCCTGGATGACCTTAGCCTGGGCTCTTCCCACCCTGCCCACCCCCCGTCCCGCCCCCTTCCCTTCCCTTAGACTGGCCAAGCAGGCCTTCTATTCCAGGACTTTGCCTTGGTGTTTCCTCTCCTTGCTGAGTTTTTCCCACACATCTGCAAGCCCCCTCCCACTCTTTCTCAGGTCTTAATCAGAGAAGGCATCCCTAACCACCCTCTGTATAAAATAGCATATGCATGTACGTAGACACACACACCTTCCATATTCTATCTGCTTACCCACCCCCCTTTTAATTTTTTTCATAGCTTGTATTTCCACCTGACATGTTCTACCTATGGGTAAATTTGTCTGTCCCCTCCCCCTACACTGTAAGCTCCATGAGAGCAAAGACTTTAGTTTGTTCTATCTAGAATTCCCAACACCTAGAAGAGTGCGTGGTACGTATAGGCACGTTAAAAATATGTTCCAAAAGTATTAAGTACTTGAACTGTGCAAAACCCTTACCTACATTATTTCTTCTAATCCGTACAGCAAACATTTGAGGTGGGCATGAATAGCCAGATTTCAGAAGAGAGATGGCTGATGCTTAAGAATAGTAAGTAGCTGGTCCTATACAGGGCAGAACTGGATCCGCACAGGGCGAGGCTTCTCACTTGTCTGCAGGTATCCACAATATCTCTCCCTTTTCTCTCTCAAACTCCTACCTCGGGCATTTTAGGCATATATCACACTATTAATTACCCAACAAATGACAAGTGCAGTGAGGAACACAGAAATTCTTGGGATACATCACTTGCCTTCCAGGAGCTTAAAAAGCTAAAAATTAATGTGGAAAGACTTTACATTATTACAAAAAAGTCATTTTTATGATATTCATAAGTTACAATGTATTCATAAGTTACATAGTAACTTACAATATATGTATGGGTTAGCTCCCATTTGAAGATCCTCAGAACTTTTTTCACTGTGAGAAATTGTCATCTAATATATTGACACTAAAAATGGTTCCACGTTGAATATCAGTAATTAACCACGAGTGGAAATACACTTTCTGTTCTCTTAAATTTGATTGGCTTCATTTGTTTATTGCCATTCTTGACATTTAAAAATAGAAAATTATAGTATTCCAAACATTTTTTTCTTCAGCACCATGGAGTTCTTACAGGAACTAAAATATTTCTTGGACTTAAGCATCAGTCTTTGATGGCTTTTTGTCCCAAATGTTCTTTTTAAAAGTCTTAATCCTTAGATTTTCCTGAAAGGGAATGGGCCTTTCCCATTATCCTTGTGAAGTAAATGTTTGTTTATCGTCTGAAAAGATTTCTTGAGTACCCTTTGGAATTGGTGAGATGGCTTATCAGGTACTGTTTAAAAGGTTGAAAATGACACATTTTAAGTGTGACTATTTTAATCAACAAATACTTGAGTCCCTGTTATATCTAAATACCTGTCATTAACCCTAACACATACAGACTAAGCTGGGAGTTAATATCACATACATATGAAAAGTTAACTAATAAAAGTAGATGCTTAAGACAAAAGACCTTAAGAATGGAAATGAGCACTAGCTTCCAGGCCTGGAAAGCAAAGCAAGACCACACGGAGAGCTGGGTGGGCTCTCCTGCTTGAGGAAGATCAACAGAGCTGAGGGAGCACACCAAGGAAAGCTTGGAAAGTGGGAAAGTATAGGCTTTAGGGTAGGAGTTTCCATAAAGAGTAGGAGGTGCCAGATTGTGGTTGGCCTTGAATGTCAAGCTAAAGTGTTCATAGAGAAGAGCCTTGGGAATTGTTTTTAATACAAAGAAACGAATCAATAAAATAGTACCATGGATTCCCCTCCGTGAGGCTATATCTATGTCTCTTAGTGTAAATACAGCATTTGTAAAATGAAAGGCACTGTTCGCATCTAATGGTAACTGTGCTGCCTTTTTAAACCACTGACATGATGGTTGCAGATGTAATACTAACATTGAGTTTAAACCACTGCTTGGGGTGAAACGTTAACCGAGGGTGTAAGGTTTCTTACTCATTTGACCCTAAATGAACCTTTAGAGGCAAAAACACTCAGCCAGGATGCAGGCCCCTGTGCCATGTAATCCAATCTTCATTCCTTATTTAAACAGAAACTTTAACTAAAAAAAATTGTCCGTTAATTATAGGAATATGAGACAAGAAATATGCATTTTGTTTTGATCACCTTTCAGACATTCATGGTTTTAGGATTGCAAAACAGTTTCCATAGTGTTTCCCTGGATTGGGTTCATTTGTTGTGTTTGTTTTCCTTTAGGATCTGGTTCCTTCAGGATGAATCTGTGATTAGAATTTTTTGACATATTAAACAGATACTGTTTGATTCATAATCTATGCGTTATTTTTAAATAACTAATGTGAGTAAACAATTTATGAGCAAGAGAAGTGCCTACCCATGTCCCAGCCATTTAGTCAAATGCCATTATCCTTTACTGAAATTCAACTGATAGCCTAAATGTTCTGTTTTTCCAGCATTTTCTCTCTATTCACGCTTCCTAAACCAAGTTCCCAGTGGGACCAGGGGGACAGAGGACTGACGCTTACCGAGCCCCTAGGAACTGTCAAGCACTTCAGTTACTATCTCACTAAGTACACTGCAGCTCTGAGTTCATTTTTATTCCCATTTCACAGCGAAGAACCGAAGGCTCAGAGAGTTAACAGAATGACATGACTCGTCACACAGCTAGTAAATGCTGGGGACAACGTTCAAACCAGACCTTCCAAGTCCTGGGTGACTTACGGAGCCCTGCTGGCCCCTCTGTAAGTTAAATTTGGGTGCCCTGAGATCTGTGTCCTTTCATGGCTAAAATACTGTCATCTATGAGTCTGTCTTTTTCTAACCAATGATGTTGTTGAATCTTCTCAAACATTAAGCTCTCATATCTAATTGAAACACTGCTGGTGTCATGTAGAGAAAAGAATGCTGTGCTGCGTATAGAAAAGCTTTATAAGTTGTAGCCTAAGGAGCTGTGTGACACTGAGTAAGGAGCTCAGTCTATGAGATTTGAACCGAGTGATCTTGGAAGTCTTTAGAAGTTCTAAAATTCCATGACTCTGAATAAAATGTTTTCATCCACATCTGCAAATACTTTGTTGTAATTTAATTTCTGTGCTTAGGATAACCCTGTGTACAGATGGGTGGTCATGCAATGGCAATAAGAAATGTATTCTAAAATCGTAGGTGTCCAATTTTGCACTCCTTATTAAGATTAAAAAAATTGTATGCATGAATTTTTGTTTCCCTTAGACAATATAATACATTTGGCTGAAAATCTTATTATAATTTCTAAAGTGTTAAAACCAAATCTTCTCCCTTTTTTTAAAACATATTACAATTTAATAAAAGTGGAGCACTAAAAAATTGCATCTAGAGTTCCCAGTGGAAAAACTTATACTAGGAGAACATAAAAATTCCTGGACGGGGGCTTCCCTGGTGGCGCA